GTTGCTGCGGGTGGCTAGCGCGACAACGCCTTCTGACTGATCTGCAGCGCTGTTCGTCCTGCCCTGCGATGTGCGCAGCCGAGGCCAACGATCGTCACTTCACTCCTAAAAAAACCAGTCCGTGGTAATTTTGCCCGTCCGCGCCGTGGTCACCAGCGCCGAACCAGCCGCTCCCCGTCGACCGACCCGCACCCACACATCGGCATCGCAGATGGACGCCGTGGCCCACCCCGCCAGCGCGGCCGTCCGCGGCCCACAAGCGCATGTCGGCCGTGGTCGAGTGTGCTCGGTTTTACGCAGGCAAGGAAAAGATGTTTGTATTGGAATGGCGATCCAGCCCTCATGCCAATTACTCGCTACTGGATTTAGTCACTCGTAATCATTAGGACTAGCAGTCTGTCTGGATTCTCTCATGTCTAAAGTTTGGTTAAGTAAAATTGAGAACTAAAATTTCAGACCACTTTAATTCAATTATAGATGGTCAAAAGTTTTGTGAGATAGTCTAAATTTTATAAATACTTTAACCTCCTGCTCAAAGCCTTAAGAACTAGAGTGGTATAAAGTTTAGTAGCTAAACTTTAGACCATGTGATTTAAACAGTGCCTAGGTTCTTGCTCGCTTGTTGTAATGGAAGCGACATGTGCAGGTAAATCAAATGCTACTTGTAATAGGACTTAATAGAGGTGTGTTATTATGATAACATCTAGTTCTATTATGACCCGATGTAGAATCCTACTAGTCTTCGGGAATAAGACTCATCTTGCATGCACGAGAGTCTTGGAGGAGACTACATAAATAAGGGGTAAAAGCTCATAAGCATCAACTAACGTGTCACGGCACCGTCTCGTCCACCTCCACCGCCTTGTCACGCCCCCCACCCCCTTCTAAGTCCGCCGGAGATGAATCCCCAATCCCCTACTTCTCGAAGGAGGGGTATTTGAATAGAACCTGTACTTTTCAACAAAAAAAATACACATCATTCACAAAAAGATTACTTGATGGGCTTATCTTGCTACTGTTTTGTTTTTTAGGAGAGTGGTATGTTAAAAATCAGTTGAAGAATGTCCTTGGGAAGATAGAGATGATTATAAGTGATGCATGCCAGATTTTGGAACGCCTGAACTTGCCAAGCGTAGCTAATTCTAATGGGAGACAAAATTTTCCTGCTAATTCATGTAGTGCAGTCACTACTGGAGCTCCTCCGCTAAAAGTATTCGGTCGAGATAAGGAACGTGACAAGGTCATAGCAATGCTTCATAAGAAAGAATGCGATGGTCAACAAAAGAGCAAGAGTGGTATTCCTTATTCTGTACTTGGCATCCATGGCATCGCCGGGTCTGGGAAATCAACTCTTGCACAAGTTGTGTATGCCCGTGAGAAAAAGGACAAGCAAGAGAACGAAGTCGGCCATTTTGACCTTGTTATGTGGGTCCATGTTTCTCAGAAATTTGATTTGGATGTGATTTTTAGGGAGTTGATGGAGGGCGCTACAGGGAGTCCATGCCCTACATTCAATAGTCGCAACGCCCTGCAAGAAAAACTGGAGGAGAAACTGCATGGAAAACGGTTTTTCTTGGTACTAGATGATGTCTGGTACAATAATAGGGATGCGAGGAAGCAAGAAGAACTGCAACAAATACTTTCTCCCTCAAAGTTGGCGAAACAGGAAGCAAGATCCTGGTGACTAGTCGAAGCAGAGATGCATTATTGGCTCTGGGTTCTGTAGAAGAGAGATGTATTCCAATACCTGATCTGGATGATAAAGCATTCTTTGAGATGTTCATGCACTATGCACTTGGAGATGCAAAGATAGAGGATGACCATGATAGAGCAAAACTCGAAATGCTTGGAGAGGACATTGCAAAAAAGCTGAAGCGGTCACCTTTGGCAGCCAGAACCGTGGGTGCACAACTATGTCTAAGACCCAATGTTGAGTTTTGGAGAACAACAAAAGACAGGGCCCTGTTGAATGACACCATGGGAGCTCTGTGGTGGAGCTACCAGCATCTTGATGAGCAGGTCAGGCGTTGCTTCGCTTATTGCAGTATCTTCCCAAGAAGACATCATTTGAGACGCAAGGAGTTAGTTCAGTTCTGGATGGCGGAAGGGTTTATAAAGACAAGTAATGATGAAGAGGAACTGGATGGTATTGGTCAGGAGTACTTCAATAAATTATTGTCGGCCTCATTTCTGCAACTAGGAGAGAGACAACTAGAATATGAATGTGAGGTTGATGGCTTTACTATTCATGACCTGCTGCGTGATATAGCAGAAGAGGCTGCCAGAGGAGATTGCTTCAGAATCGAGAAAGATTTCACAGGAGAAGTTCCCCCAGATGTTCGTCATCTATTTGTTGGGAGTCCTGATATAAAGATGGTTGCCAACAAGATTTCTGAATTGCAGAATCTACGCACTCTAATATTTGATGATCGCTTACCACCTGATGATGAAGTCTTTCAGGGAATGTTCAAGAGGTTCCGAAAATTGCGGGTGCTGATTTTATGTTTCCGTATAGATGGTTGTGGTCACACCTTCTCAGTCCCGGAATGTATTGGTCAGCTAAAGCATCTACGGTATCTTCGTTTGAATGGGTATGGGCCCTTTAGGGACGACACGCTAATTTTACCAAGTAGTATTACCAAGCTTTACCACATTCAGCTGTTAGATGTTTCTGATTTCGTTGATGTGGTTTTTCCGGTGGTAAAACTATGCATCACCTTGTCAACTTGCGGTGTCTAAGCAGCAGCCGTGTAGATCTGGATATTCCAAATATTGGCAGGCTTAAACGGCTCCAAGTGTTACCACACTTCAGTGTAATGAAGAAACAGGGGTTCGAGCTACGACAACTGAAGGACCTAAACAAACTTGAAGGCAGACTACGGATCAGTAATCTTGAGAACGTTGAAAGCAAGGAGGAGGCTGTTCAAGCTAGTCTTGCAGACAAGGAACGACTGACAACGCTTGCACTATGCTGGGGGCACTATACGAGTTGCAGTCCTGAAGAAGTTGAAGCAGAGGTGCTTGAGGGTCTTTGCCCTCAAAGTATGTTGAAAGACTAGAAATTTTGAACTACCACGGCTCGACGTACCCAAACTGGATGGTGGGTAAGCAGAATGGCGGACCAAAGAGGTTGCATTATCTTTGGCTCTACGACTGCACTCGACTTGAACCGGCTCCTGAACTTTTGAGGTCTTCGTCCATCTTCGTTGCTTTACGCTTTTGGGCAGCAATTGGCCCTCGTTGCCCGATAATATAGGGCAACTGACGTCACTCCAGACACTGGATATAGATCGTTGTCCGAACATTCGTTCCCTTCCAGCACTGCCCCGGTCCCTTAAGCTTTTTTTTTCTCATGTTCTGCAACGAGGACTTCATGAGGTCATGCGAAACAGTTGAGGATCCAAACTGGCAAAAGATCCAGCACATTCCCGAGAAATATATCGGGCATGATTTTTAAGGCTCTCTCCCAAGTCTGCAAATCCCTTTGACTGTGCCACGTTTTCTCCTTATTTTTGTGTTAAGGTTACTACTGTACTGTGTAGCCTCCGTAATTAAGATTCAGCTAATGTTTACTACTGTGCCAAGTTGGAGGTATAGTTGGGGCCAAATGTTTGATTTGGCATGCGTATGATAAACATACAACCAGAATTCTGGACGGATTTGAGATTTATTGCTGTAATCATTTTATTTGAAAACGACATTATGTGTTTGTGAGATCTATTTATGTTGTATATTACCATGGGATTTGAAATCATGATAAACGAATTGAATGAGCCATTGTTTATATTTTGGTAATGTTACATTGTCTCTACAACTTAGAGGGTTGCAAAACAATACATTGCCCACAAGTGGAGGAGTTACATGCAAAGTGCATGTGATGCCAATAGGATTATTTCCACTTTCACGGACCTGGATCGCTGTGGTCTTGCGGAACAGCAGCAGCAGCAGCACTATGATTGATGCAGGAAGGAGGTTGCTGCGGGTGGCTAGCGCGACAACGCCTTCTGACTGATCTGCAGCGCTGTTCGTCCTGCCCTGCGATGTGCGCAGCCGAGGCCAACGATCGTCACTTCACTCCTAAAAAAACCAGTCCGTGGTAATTTTGCCCGTCCGCGCCGTGGTCACCAGCGCCGAACCAGCCGCTCCCCGTCGACCGACCCGCACCCACACATCGGCATCGCAGATGGACGCCGTGGCCCACCCCGCCAGCGCGGCCGTCCGCGGCCCACAAGCGCATGTCGGCCGTGGTCGAGTGTGCTCGGTTTTACGCAGGCAAGGAAAAGATGTTTGTATTGGAATGGCGATCCAGCCCTCATGCCAATTACTCGCTACTGGATTTAGTCACTCGTAATCATTAGGACTAGCAGTCTGTCTGGATTCTCTCATGTCTAAAGTTTGGTTAAGTAAAATTGAGAACTAAAATTTCAGACCACTTTAATTCAATTATAGATGGTCAAAAGTTTTGTGAGATAGTCTAAATTTTATAAATACTTTAACCTCCTGCTCAAAGCCTTAAGAACTAGAGTGGTATAAAGTTTAGTAGCTAAACTTTAGACCATGTGATTTAAACAGTGCCTAGGTTCTTGCTCGCTTGTTGTAATGGAAGCGACATGTGCGGTAAATCAAATGCTACTTGTAATAGGACTTAATAGAGGTGTGTTATTATGATAACATCTAGTTCTATTATGACCCGATGTAGAATCCTACTAGTACTGGGAATAAGACTCATCTTGCATGCACGAGAGTCTTGGAGGAGACTACATAAATAAGGGGTAAAGCTCATAAGCATCAACTAACGTGTCACGGCACCGTCTCGTCCACCTCCACCGCCTTGTCACGCCCCCCACCCCCTTCTAAGTCCGCCGGAGATGAATCCCCAATCCCCTACTTCTCGAAGGAGGGGTATTTGAATAGAACCTGTACTTTTCAACAAAAAAAATACACATCATTCACAAAAAGATTACTTGATGGGCTTATCTTGCTACTGTTTTGTTTTTTAGGAGAGTGGTATGTTAAAAAATCAGTTGAAGAATGTCCTTGGGAAGATAGAGATGATTATAAGTGATGCATGCCAGATTTTGGAACGCCTGAACTTGCCAAGCGTAGCTAATTCTAATGGGAGACAAAATTTTCCTGCTAATTCATGTAGTGCAGTCACTACTGGAGCTCCTCCGCTAAAAGTATTCGGTCGAGATAAGGAACGTGACAAGGTCATAGCAATGCTTCATAAGAAAGAATGCGATGGTCAACAAAAGAGCAAGAGTGGTATTCCTTATTCTGTACTTGGCATCCATGGCATCGCCGGGTCTGGGAAATCAACTCTTGCACAAGTTGTGTATGCCCGTGAGAAAAAGGACAAGCAAGAGAACGAAGTCGGCCATTTTGACCTTGTTATGTGGGTCCATGTTTCTCAGAAATTTGATTTGGATGTGATTTTTAGGGAGTTGATGGAGGGCGCTACAGGGAGTCCATGCCCTACATTCAATAGTCGCAACGCCCTGCAAGAAAAACTGGAGGAGAAACTGCATGGAAAACGGTTTTTCTTGGTACTAGATGATGTCTGGTACAATAATAGGGATGCGAGGAAGCAAGAAGAACTGCAACAAATACTTTCTCCCCTCAAAGTTGGCGAAACAGGAAGCAAGATCCTGGTGACTAGTCGAAGCAGAGATGCATTATTGGCTCTGGGTTCTGTAGAAGAGAGATGTATTCCAATACCTGATCTGGATGATAAAGCATTCTTTGAGATGTTCATGCACTATGCACTTGGAGATGCAAAGATAGAGGATGACCATGATAGAGCAAAACTCGAAATGCTTGGAGAGGACATTGCAAAAAAGCTGAAGCGGTCACCTTTGGCAGCCAGAACCGTGGGTGCACAACTATGTCTAAGACCCAATGTTGAGTTTTGGAGAACAACAAAAGACAGGGCCCTGTTGAATGACACCATGGGAGCTCTGTGGTGGAGCTACCAGCATCTTGATGAGCAGGTCAGGCGTTGCTTCGCTTATTGCAGTATCTTCCCAAGAAGACATCATTTGAGACGCAAGGAGTTAGTTCAGTTCTGGATGGCGGAAGGGTTTATAAAGACAAGTAATGATGAAGAGGAACTGGATGGTATTGGTCAGGAGTACTTCAATAAATTATTGTCGGCCTCATTTCTGCAACTAGGAGAGAGACAACTAGAATATGAATGTGAGGTTGATGGCTTTACTATTCATGACCTGCTGCGTGATATAGCAGAAGAGGCTGCCAGAGGAGATTGCTTCAGAATCGAGAAAGATTTCACAGGAGAAGTTCCCCCAGATGTTCGTCATCTATTTGTTGGGAGTCCTGATATAAAGATGGTTGCCAACAAGATTTCTGAATTGCAGAATCTACGCACTCTAATATTTGATGATCGCTTACCACCTGATGATGAAGTCTTTCAGGGAATGTTCAAGAGGTTCCGAAAATTGCGGGTGCTGATTTTATGTTTCCGTATAGATGGTTGTGGTCACACCTTCTCAGTCCCGGAATGTATTGGTCAGCTAAAGCATCTACGGTATCTTCGTTTGAATGGGTATGGGCCCTTTAGGGACGACACGCTAATTTTACCAAGTAGTATTACCAAGCTTTACCACATTCAGCTGTTAGATGTTTCTGATTTCGTTGATGTGGTTTTTTCCGGTGGTAAAACTATGCATCACCTTGTCAACTTGCGGTGTCTAAGCAGCAGCCGTGTAGATCTGGATATTCCAAATATTGGCAGGCTTAAACGGCTCCAAGTGTTACCACACTTCAGTGTAATGAAGAAACAGGGGTTCGAGCTACGACAACTGAAGGACCTAAACAAACTTGAAGGCAGACTACGGATCAGTAATCTTGAGAACGTTGAAAGCAAGGAGGAGGCTGTTCAAGCTAGTCTTGCAGACAAGGAACGACTGACAACGCTTGCACTATGCTGGGGGCACTATACGAGTTGCAGTCCTGAAGAAGTTGAAGCAGAGGTGCTTGAGGGTCTTTGCCCCTCAAAGTATGTTGAAAGACTAGAAATTTTGAACTACCACGGCTCGACGTACCCAAACTGGATGGTGGGTAAGCAGAATGGCGGACCAAAGAGGTTGCATTATCTTTGGCTCTACGACTGCACTCGACTTGAACCGGCTCCTGAACTTTTTGAGGTCTTCGTCCATCTTCGTTGCTTTACGCTTTTGGGCAGCAATTGGCCCTCGTTGCCCGATAATATAGGGCAACTGACGTCACTCCAGACACTGGATATAGATCGTTGTCCGAACATTCGTTCCCTTCCAGCACTGCCCCGGTCCCTTAAGCTTTTTTTTCTCATGTTCTGCAACGAGGACTTCATGAGGTCATGCGAAACAGTTGAGGATCCAAACTGGCAAAAGATCCAGCACATTCCCGAGAAATATATCGGGCATGATTTTTAAGGCTCTCTCCCAAGTCTGCAAATCCCTATGACTGTGCCACGTTTTCTCCTTATTTTTTGTGTTAAGGTTACTACTGTACTGTGTAGCCTCCGTAATTAAGATTCAGCTAATGTTTACTACTGTGCCAAGTTGGAGGTATAGTTGGGGCCAAATGTTTGATTTGGCATGCGTATGATAAACATACAACCAGAATTCTGGACGGATTTGAGATTTATTGCTGTAATCATTTTATTTGAAAACGACATTATGTGTTTGTGAGATCTATTTATGTTGTATATTACCATGGGATTTGAAATCATGATAAACGAATTGAATGAGCCATTGTTTATATTTTGGTAATGTTACATTGTCTCTACAACTTAGAGGGTTGCAAAACAATACATTGCCCACAAGTGGAGGAGTTACATGCAAAGTGCATGTGATGCCAATAGGATTATTTCCACTTTCACGGACCTGGATCGCTGTGGTCTTGCGGAACAGCAGCAGCAGCAGCACTATGATTGATGCAGGAAGGAGGTTGCTGCGGGTGGCTAGCGCGACAACGCCTTCTGACTGATCTGCAGCGCTGTTCGTCCTGCCCTGCGATGTGCGCAGCCGAGGCCAACGATCGTCACTTCACTCCTAAAAAAACCAGTCCGTGGTAATTTTGCCCGTCCGCGCCGTGGTCACCAGCGCCGAACCAGCCGCTCCCCGTCGACCGACCCGCACCCACACATCGGCATCGCAGATGGACGCCGTGGCCCACCCCGCCAGCGCGGCCGTCCGCGGCCCACAAGCGCATGTCGGCCGTGGTCGAGTGTGCTCGGTTTTACGCAGGCAAGGAAAAGATGTTTGTATTGGAATGGCGATCCAGCCCTCATGCCAATTACTCGCTACTGGATTTAGTCACTCGTAATCATTAGGACTAGCAGTCTGTCTGGATTCTCTCATGTCTAAAGTTTGGTTAAGTAAAATTGAGAACTAAAATTTCAGACCACTTTAATTCAATTATAGATGGTCAAAAGTTTTGTGAGATAGTCTAAATTTTATAAATACTTTAACCTCCTGCTCAAAGCCTTAAGAACTAGAGTGGTATAAAGTTTAGTAGCTAAACTTTAGACCATGTGATTTAAACAGTGCCTAGGTTCTTGCTCGCTTGTTGTAACGGGCGACATGTGCGGTAAATCAAATGCTACTTGTAATAGGACTTAATAGAGGTGTGTTATTATGATAACATCTAGTTCTATTATGACCCGATGTAGAATCCTACTAAGATTTTGGGAATAAGACTCATCTTGCATGCACGAGAGTCTTGGAGGAGACTACATAAATAAGGGGTAAAGCTCATAAGCATCAACTAACGTGTCACGGCACCGTCCTCGTCCACCTCCACCGCCTTGTCACGCCCCCACCCCTTCTAAGTCCGCCGGAGATGAATCCCCAATCCCCCCTAAAAAACACAAAAAAGAAAAGATTTTGAAGAAAGAGATTAGATGAGTGAAAAAGAGGAAAAATAATTTATTCATCAAAAATTCCCCATCCAATACCTCCACTTGCCGACTTGCCCATGGCGTCCGTCCCACCCCTCCCAGCGGCGCTCGCCCCATATCGCCCCTCCGACGCCGCCGCCCTTCTCTTCCGCTCCCCCTCCTTCTCGCCCTTCTCTTCGGCTACCCGGCCGCGCAGGTTCCCGGCGGTTGCGTCGGCGCGCGAGATGCCGTGGCCGCACGTGCTGACGGTGGCCGGCTCCGACTCCGGCGCCGGCGCGGGCATCCAGGCCGACATCAAGGCGTGCGCGGCCCTAGGAGCCTACTGCTCCTCCGTCATCACTGCCGTCACCGCGCAGAACACCGTCGGCGTCCAGGCACGTTATGCCCCGATTCCCCCGCTCTTCTTTTGCTACTAGTCCGCTTTCTTTCGCCACGATTCGATCGAGAACAGGGGATGGATGATCCGGTGGTGCTGTAGGGGGTCCATGCTGTGCCGGAGGAGTTCGTGGGGGAGCAGCTCAGGTCGGTTCTCTCGGACATGTCGGTGGACGTGGTGAGCTTCTTTGCCCTTCGGCATTCAGTAACGATGCCATGGTATGTCTTATTAGGGGTTAGTTCTTCCAAATCTTAACGCACGCAGTGCCCCTGATGTGCGTGCTATAAACAGAGATCTTTTTGTTTGGGACAGACTATTCTTGCTATGATTACAAAGCTACTATGCTTGGCAAAGTGATTCATTTTTTTTCCGATAAAGGAAACATTTATTAAATTCTCAAAGCATTACATCGAGATGATGGAAGGCCTTGAAAAAGTACTTGTGACCTCTGCCTAACAAGAAGCGCACAGCCTTGAAAAAGTGATTCATGGAAGGAGTTTGATTATTTCTATTAGTTAGTTTATTTCACGTCAGTTTAAGTGTTAGGGCGTTAGCTTCCCATGAAATTGGATTGTCTTACTGTGAAATCGGCAGCTTAGGTGCGAACATATATTTCATTTCCTTTAAGGTGATCGAACTTTGTTCCCATTTCTCACTGCCAAGGGCTATCACCTCAGTTTATAGCATATAGTTACCAACAGTATATAATGTTTGAATTTACTGGAATCATGGTTTCAAAGGTTACAAAGCAAACCAAGTGGAGCTGGGTCTGCCTGGACACTTAGGTGACGTCTTCAAAACAGAGCCTAGAATCCTAGGGCGTATTTAGTTTGCGCCCTCGCCTGGGAGCCGCAGCCAGGCAAGCAGATCCGACCCCATGAGCGCCTGGTGTCGCTGCCTGGGCCAGGCGCGTTTTCCAGGGTGTGGAGCAAACAGCCCCCTAATCCTTCATCCTTGTTAGATGCATTGCTCTGCCTAAAGAATGATATTTGATTGGCTTAGTTATGTTTGTATCCCAAAAGGCTTGTTGATTCTCTGAATCTGCTTTTGTAGAAGTTGTCATATGAAATTGGAGTTAGGTGATAGTTTGTTATGATTTAATCTATTTGATTTGTATCCTATTTTCACTTGGAACTCATGCTATGTGTGTCTTCTGTTCTTGATTTTGTTAGGTGAAAACAGGGATGCTCCCTTCAGCTGGAGTTGTTAAAGTTCTCTGCGAGAGTCTTAGGAAGTTTCCAGTCAAAGGTATGCTGTACTGCTGCAAGTTTATGATGAAAGCATACAATGCCAACTCAGTTATTTACTTGCTATGACTTATGCTTCTGAAGGCAGCTCTAGTGGTGGATCCGGTCATGGTGTCCACCAGTGGTGACACTCTTTCAGGACCATCTACTCTCGCTACATATAGGTACAGGATCAATATTTGTTTTGTTCCGTATGCATTTATGAGTTCTTGTTGGAATGTTATTGCTGTTACATCCTCAATACCGTAGTACTTATGGACATGCTCTTGCAATTGTTATGAGCAGGGATGAACTATTTTCTATGGCTGATATAGTCACTCCAAATGTGAAAGAAGCATCTAAGTTACTTGGGGATGTATCATTGCATACAATTTCTGACATGCGCAATGCAGCTGAATCCATTTACAAACTTGGTCCAAAGTATGTGGTCTCTATTTCTGTAAATTTGTTCTGTTTACCTTATTTGATCTCTTACCCTTACCCTACATGTGCGCTATCACGTTCTTGTCATCTGATGTTACATCTGTATGGGGGAATGTCAGCCTAACCTCCCAATGTTCTATATGAATCTTTTAAGTATATTGTTTGAAGCAAACTTGCTACCATAGTTGTAATAAGCTTGGAATCACGGGGAGCTTGCATCTGTACTACAATTTAAGCTGCAGTTTCCATCTATACCATGAAGCTAGTAAATGACGTGGGGTCTGGTCCTACATGTCATTGTCATTGACACAGGCTAATGGTATAAATGAAAAGGGCACGTTAAGTGGTGATATAGATGAAATCATTCTTGAATAGTATACATAATTTCCCTCTGTTCCAGATTTCCAGCTTTAGGAGCAAACTATACATGGTTCTTGTTGATTTATCATGCCTGAATATACAAAGTTCTATTAGTTCCAGCTTGAGGAGCTAATGGCCCGTACCATTTAAACCAGTCACAAGTTTCCTCATGACACTCCTGTCTTGAATAAGTACTAAACCTTGTCACTGTGCGTTGCTAGCTGAAAGCTCTTCATTTGACACTGTAGAGAAACACCGCACACCCTAATCAGGGGGGGGGGGTTGACCTTCATTATATAGCCTAATAGGCTAGGGTTACAATGTATACAAGGCCAATGGGCCATTACGCCCAATATGGGTTGTATGTGTTACAATTATATTCTAACACCCTCCCTCAGTCTAAGCGGGAGTGTCACGAACACAAAGACTGGACCTAAAATCAGTAAACAACTGTACAGGTAACCCTTTGGTCATAATGTCCGCGAACTGATGAGACGATGGGACGTGGAGCACCCGGACCTGTCCCAAGGCCACTTTGTCACGGACGAAGTGAATGTCTATCTCGATGTGCTTCGTGCGACGATGATGAACTGGATTGGCGATCATGTAGACAATAACGACATTGTCACAAATGAACAACCGTCAGCCAAGAGATGGGCGCATGGAGCTCTGAAGCAACCGACGGCCAACAAGGCTCACGACCCACAGCGTCATAATGAAGACGATACTCGACCTCCCGCTTTCGAACGAGAAACCGTGGTCTGCTGCTTGGAGGACCAAGAGACTAGGTTGTCGCCGAGGAAGACACAAGAGTTCAAGTGGAGCGCCGAGTCCGGACAACCAAATTTAATCGAAGATCGGAGTAGGCGGTCAAATTGTCGATGCCGCCAATGCCAATGTGAAGCCTAGTGGACAGAAAGTGCCTTCACATACCGCAAGACACGCTTGAGCATCGCCGGATGAGGCTCGCGTGGGTCGTGCATGAAGAGACACACCTACCGAATCTGCGTGGCGAGGTCCGGACAAGTCGGTGTGAGGTCTTGAGAGCACCAATGAGGTCTGCAGATTGGGTAGCATCCTCCACCGGAAAGCCATGTCCCGTGCAGTAGAGCTTGGCGCGAGTGT